TATTAAACTAACTTTGCTGAGAAAATGCTCTGCTAGAAGGCCGTGCAGCTGATAGGGTGCGTTTAAAAAAAGCTTGTTTTCATTATGTGGAGAAACAAATATGGGAAGGAGGCGTAATTCTTTCTGAATGTATATTTTGTATAAATGTACGATTTTTGCGGGGACTATACAAGTGACAAAATATGCTTGTTGCCTGAATTCCATTGACGTCCAAACGTTCTCCTTGTCACGTGAGAGTCCAGTTCGTGTCGACGTGCCGTGCTGTACCTGACCAATTAGCCCAGCTTTGAAGAACTCTACACGACGACCCCCGCTCCCTGGGCCAGCCCCTCAAGGGCTCCCTGCAAGGGCTCTCAGCGATGGAGGGCCAGCTGGGCGCTGCACTCCCAGCCAGGGGGGTGCCGCGTTTTGGCCATGATCGCCGCTTTACAATGCGACAGACGCCAAGCGAGGAGGTGACAGGGTCCCAGATGCCACGGGGGCTACAGGTTTATCTCGAGCGGTCACTGCAGCGGTGCGTGTGTGTGTGACTACACTGGACCCAGTGTGTGTGACCACACTACAATGAGGAGGAGGCTCGTGAAGGAAGCTACTGGGCAGTTGGAGACAGTCGCACACGGAGGGCAGAGGAGCAATGCCCACAACTACGAGCAGAGCGCTGGGCGGCTAAAGCACAGCACAATGGAACAGTAAGGGTTACAGGTGGTGCATCGGCCAGTCATCTCATTTGGTCAACCCATGGAGCCTGCTTGGTCTGTCCCGTGACCTTCTGCCAGTGGGCGTTCGACACTTCACGTGGCCTTAAAGTACACATCGCCTGGCACAAGGGCCGTGGTGACATCACCGCCACTTAGTGGGGAATGGCGGCGGTTGTTGTTGACTTCACTGGACCCGTGTGTGTGTGTGTGTGGAGCGGTGGTGCAATGGTTCCCACACCGCAATGCGAACCCAGCAGGCCCAGCTCGATTGCTAAACACGACTAACGTCCATGGAAAGCGCTATTAAAATTATTCCTGAGCCTCCCCTAGGTCAAGTCAGCTTCAAATGGGTACCTCGTGTGATGTGTTGACATCAGCACTGGGGAGACAAAGGTGGCTGGCTGTGGCTCCAGTTACACCACTCTGTTGTGTGCTGTGTCGGCCTTGGCAGGATCTTGCTAACAACACTTTCTACAACGGTCTGAGAGGCTATACAGGGGATCATGGTCTTCGTGCGAGTGAAGGACACTTCTTGGTTCTTTCGGTAAAGTCACGTAGAATGAGAATAAAAGAATAAAACAAAATAAGACAATAAAATTCTCACGACGTTTCGGTCACAACCCAAGTGGCCTTCTTCAGGTGAAGAAACAGGTCTATCCAGGAGACAGAGCTTGAATGGACGCTGTCACGCAAGGACCGAGTCTTTTTAAAGCTGTATGGGCGGAGTTGGATGCGTGACAGCGTCCATTCAAGCTCTGTCTCCTGGATAGACCTGTTTCTTCACCTGAAGAAGGCCACTTGGGTTGTGACCGAAACGTCGTGAGAATTGTATTGTGTTATTTTGTTTTATTGTTTTATTCTCATTCTACGTGACTTTACCGAAAGAACCAAGAAGATGAATCCTTGCAGTCAGGAAAGCTGTAAATTGAAGGACACTTATTGTCAGAGGAATTTGAAAGTGCAGAGTGATTGAAAACAACTTTCACACCCTCAAGAAAGAGAAGGTGATCCTCAACAGAAATTCACCCAGGTTTTGATAAAGGATATCGATTGATCGATTACTAATTCCCAAATATTCCAACGAGGGTGGGTTGATGCAAAACATTGACCTCGCAATGATTGTGGCACCACACGAGCCACCATTGCGCGCCAGGGCCCTGCCTTTTTATTGGTGGCAAGGTCCCGAAATTCACTGCGCCAGCACCACCGCTCCCACCGCTCATTACGAGCCACGCGTTTCGCGGTGCTAATTAGTTATTCATTACCCCAGTGAAGATACTCGGAGCAACTCGAAACGTCCCGCGAAACATTTGCTCATTGAGCACATCACGGCTCGCCATTAGTGTCTCTCCCTATGCATGTGGTAGTATCCATTGCTTCCGTTAAATTGCCTCCATTCCTCTCGGCTGAAACATTCTACCCCCCCCCCCTTTCCTTGCTTAAAATAATATATGCAACTAACACCTCCCTTCTTCAAACCATTATAGATGTGTGCGTGCTTATATGCGCCAAGTGACTTGATACATGGTCTATTTAAATGCTTTATAATTGCACATTTTATTGTCGCGAGGTGCCACGAGTTTTAAGACTTTGCCGCGAGATGGTGAAGTAGACCAAGCAGTCGTGCACGCCATTAATAAATCCTGGCTGGTGTCTCATTATTATTAAGCGGCTGAAAAGAAAACCAGCAACCTTAATGTCCCCGGGAAGAGTTACAGATTTCCTAAGAAAAGCTTCCTGAACAAGAGCACGGTCCTAGGAAAACAAGCGCAGGTAGCGACCCTCGGTGAAGGCCGAGAGGTGGCATGCAGGCCGGGCGGATTGGTGTGAGGGAAGGCTCTGTCATAGGGGAGGCCCTACTACTGTGCTCGGGGCCCCGCTTAAAGTCAGCCTCACAATCAGAATATTGATTTATACCGGAGGAATCCAATGAGACGTGAAGCTTTTTTTAACAGGGACCCTGTTAATGTGGTTGGGGTCAGAGGTTGCAGGAATCCATGTGAACCTCAGTTCACACCAGCTGCTTCACTGCACCTACCCCATGGGGCCTGCAACGACCGCTCAGATTAAGGCCCCATTACACTGCATATGACTGCGCCCTTGTTACTATGGACAAAAAAAGATATCTGTATATCTGGAAGGTTGTGTCCTGTTACTTATGTCATGTAACCATTGAGATGGGGCCTCTGTAGCCACGTAAATAAAGGCCCTAACACCTTGGAGAAGAGGGTCATGTATCTATGGATGAGGTTGGGGGCCTGTTACTATGGGCAATTAAAGATGAGGCCTTGTTGCTATGGAGAGGGGGGAGGAGCTTGTAACCATGGAAATATTGAACTTGTAACCATGGATACCCTGTAACTATAAGGTTGGGGCCCTGTACTGTAAAAGCGCGATCAGAATACATTTGTCTTTTACTATTTATGCAAATAGAGCAGGGCAACACGAGCGTGCGCGGTGACGTCAACGCGCACGCGGCGTGGGGTCGGTGCGAGGGCGCGGTGACGTCAGCGCGTGGCGGGGCGCCGTGCGCGGTGACGTCACCACGCAGGAGACGTGGGCGGGGCCTGGCTGCTATTTCAAGCCTCGCGCGAAACCGGGGCCGAGGCGACGCGGAGAGAGGAGCCGGGCAGGGGAATCAGCGACGGGGGCGGTGGTAGCGACGGAGAGGGCAGCCAGGGCAGGGCAGGGGCAGGGCAGGACGGCGAAGAGCAGGACGGCGAAGAGCAGCAGCAGCAAGGGACAGAGAGAGGCGAGAGGGCAGGTGGGAGATAGAGAGGGAGACTGAGCCGCACGCACTGAACGTGGCTCCCATCGGCGCAGGCGGCGAGTCGGCCACGTGCTCGGGGTAACACTGACTCGGAGACGTACAGAGAGAGAGAGCGAGAGACGTACAGAGAGAGCGAGAGACGTACAGAGAGAGCGAGAGACGTACAGAGAGAGAGCGAGAGACGTACAGAGAGAGACTCGGGATGATACGTTGAGGTACACAAGGCGACGTACGTTGAGACACTGAGATATACACGAATAGAGATTCTGTGGCGTGCATACAAAGAGGTTAAGATATTATCGGCATTAATACACTGAGATATATACACTCGGATTCACTAGGATACGTAGACACACGCACAAATATCTCAGAGATAGACGCATACACGGACACTAAGCCTTTGACGGTGAGATGCATCTAGTGGCGGAGTAACACAGACGTCTAAGACGGGCAGACAGCAATATCAGTCGCTGGGAGAGCGACGGAGACCCTGGGACACAACGGAAGAGAGAGTCCCTGAGAGAGAGACGCTTGGGGCACATTCGGACACCAACCGAAAGATTTAAACAGCGACACCACCACCATCACTACTACTACACTCTGGGACATACACTACCACTATACTCTGGGACATACACTACCACTACACTCTGGGACATACACTACCACACATTGGGACAGACACTACCACACACTGGGACAGACACTACTACTACACACATTGAGACAGACACTACTACTACTACACACTGAGACACACTACTACACACACTGGGACAGACTCTACTACTACACACTGGGACAGACACTACTACTACACACTGAGACAGACACTACTACACACACTGGGACAGACTCTACTACTACACACTGGGACAGACACTACTACTACACACTGAGACAGACACTACTACACACACTGGGACAGACTCTACTACTACACACATTGAGACAGACACTACTACTACTACTACACACTGAGACAGACACTACTACACACACTGGGACAGACTCTACTACTACACACTGGGACAGACACTACTACTACACACTGAGACAGACACTACTACACACACTGGGACAGACTCTACTACTACACACTGGGACAGACACTACTACTACACACTGAGACAGACACTACTACACACACTGGGACAGACTCTACTACTACACACTGGGACAGACACTACTACTACACACTGAGACAGACACTGCTACTACACACTGGGACAGACACTGCTACTACACACTGGGACAGACACTACTACTACACACACTGAGACAGACACTACTACTACACACTGAGACAGACACTACTACTACACACTGAGACAGACACTACCACACTCTGGGACAGATACTACTACACACACTGGGACATATACTACCACACACTGGGACAGACACTACTACTACACACTGAGACAGACACTACTACACACACTGGGACAGACACTACTATTACACACACTGGGACAGACACTGCTACACACACTGAGACAGACACTACTACTACACACTGAGACAGAAACTACTACACACACTGAGACAGACACTACTACTACACTGAGACAGACACTACTACACACACTGAGACAGACACTACTACTACACACTGAGACAGAAACTACTACACACACTGGGACAGACAGGACTACCATACGTAGAGCTGCAGAGACAACGCGATAGGGAGAGACGCGCTCTGAGACGTAACGATAAGTCGGACGGACAGCGCAGAGAGACTCGCACAGGTGTGGGCCTAGGCCACTCAACAGGGGGGAGGCGGCTTGAGCAGCAGCAACAAACAACGTTGGTGGTGGTGGTGGGAGACGCGGGGAGCAGGGGGGAGGGACACGGAGAGAGAGGGGAGAGAGAGCAGCAGCAGGAGGAGGAGGAGCGGGAGAGACAAAGAGGGGGGCGAGTGGCGTGCTGGGAGCTCTCAGTGTGCAGGAAGGCAGAAGGGAAGGAGGAGGAGGGCTGCAGGCCATGCTCAGCATGCAGAAGGACACCACCTTCACCAAGATCTTCGTGGGCGGGCTGCCCTACCACACGACGGACGCGTCCCTGCGCGCCTTCTTCGAGGCGTTCGGGGAGATCGACGAGGCCGTGGTCATCACGGACCGGCAGTCGGGCAAGTCCCGGGGTTACGGATTCGTAAGTCCCTCGTGGTTATGGTGGTGATGATGGTGCCGAGGTTATTGTGCTACTGGCGGTAAACTTTCTGGTCTTACCAATTTTAGATATGTACGGTATTTGTAAGTGGTGATGCTGCTGATGATTGTGATTATGCCTGTGATTGTGGTGGTGATGGTGGTGATGGCTCGTGGTGGCTGTGGTGGTGATTGTGGTGGTGATTGTTCGTGTTACTGTTGCTGCTGTTAATGATGCATAGAATGGCGTTTACCGATACTAGTACAATATTGATGTTGTTGTTGATGATGATGGTGGTTGGTGGTGGTGATGAAAGTTCTGGGTGTTATTAATCACGGACGGACAGGCGGCAGTGCCTGCAATACGGATTTGCAAGTCGCTGCTGATGATGATAGCCCTGCCGCTGCTGATTAAGATCGTGATAATTCACTGTGTAACGAAAACATTTTATTGTCCCTGGATAGTAAGTGTTATTTTCCAATTGGTTTTGCCTCAAAAGTACAGAAAATGGCTATTATTCCACACAAACTTTGTTTTGTGACTAGGACAGTGGGTGATATTTTGAAATGTACCTATTTTCAATGAGAAAACGTGGTGTGCATTTGTGTCATTCCTTTACATGAAGTCCTGGTCACAAAAGCAAAGTTTGTGGGGAATAATAGCCTTTTTCTATACTTTTGAGGCATAAGCAATTAGAAAATAACACTTACTACCCAGGAACAAAAATCGTGTTACATAGTGCAATGTTACTTATAGAGGACAGGACATTGCAGGCAGTCCCACAGATCCAAGTTCACAAACTGTGGCTCGTGATGATGATGGCGCTGATGATGAGGAAGTTGCTTTTTGTCTTGCCGATGTACCTACTGATGATGATGCTGCTGCTGATATCCATACATTTACTACGAGAACTGCCCTTACTTACTGTTGTTGCTGCTCCTTCTGATGTCTCTGCTTATTGCTGATGGTATAGCTCGAGCTGGTGGTGCTGTTACTCGTGCGCATCGTATCGTAGCGGCTGCTGCCGATGTTAATTTAACTCGAGCTGATATTGGTGCCATTTCTACGCCAAACTTTTGCTACCGATGCTGCTGTTGCTCGTGTCACTTGCCCTTACTGCTGCTGATCTTTTACCGAGTCCATACTGCTGTCCCTCTAGCTGCTGCTGCCCTTTCTGATGTTACTGCACCTCCTGCTGCTGTTCCTGCCCTTACTCTTACTGCTCTTACTCTTACTGCTCTTACTGTGCTATGTATCTTCACTGCTTTTCCTACTTCTACAAGCCAGTTCCTGCTCAAAGGAGCCGTCAAGGCATTGGCACTCATCTCCCGTTTACAGCTCTCTGCCAGTGGCGACAATTCCACGTTACTATGGCAGGGACTGCTCTATCCTTATCACAACTGTTACTGCTTATTATATAAAGTACACGCTTGCTGATGACGCTGCTTCTACCAGCTGTTGCCCTCGCTACTAAAGCTCTTAGGTGGGCCCAACTGTTACGGCTGCGACTAAACTGATGCTGCTGCTCGTCTGCTGCTGTTGTTCTCTGTCCACGCTATTCGAGGCTGCTGCTGCTGCTGTTTGTGGCCATTGATGTGTCGGCTGCTGAGAGGAGAGCTCCTAGAACGAGGGTAGCGGGGGGCTGGGAGCCTGTGAATGAGATATAAAAACAAAACCCGAACTCTCATCTTTCCTACAAAGTTTCCGGGATTAACATGACCAGACGGCACTCTTTGTACGCACACACACAACTACTCCACTCAAACGTCATGGTTTTTAAAGTGGGACATTGCGCCATGCCATATTAACTTACACATCTCGGAAGCGAAGCAGGTTGAGCCTGGCTAGGGCTTGCGGGGATATCCAGTGGGCAGCAGAGGGCAGCGCAGCCAAAAATCCATTGTTGGACTGTACATGTCTGAGCGGTAGTGTAGTAGCGGTTATCGCTACGCTGCGCTATGAACCTGGCGACCCGGGTTCGATTCCCGCTCACGGCCAACACCAGTGACGATTCTCTGAACCGGTCCCGGGCCTCCCCTAGGTCGACTCAGCCTCAAATGAGTACCTGGTGCGATGTGTAAACATCGCCACTAGGGAGACAAAGGCGGTCGGGCGTAGTGCCACCCACCCCCTCGTGTACCGTTCCGGCTTTCATAGGTGCGCGCTAACAGCACTTGCCCCTACTGTCTGTTAAGGCTATATGGGGTGATCCCACATTAATTGACTAGCGTGAAGTAACTCGTGGTGTACATGGTGCAAGGGAGCCCCTCATTCGGCAGTGAATTGCACAGGGCATACGCGATTAATGTACTAAATGTTCACACGTAGGTCAGGAACAACCTACTTGCTGTACTGCTTTTATGCAAGATGTTTCTCGGATCTGCTGGTGGGGTGGTGTTTCGTAAACAACATAAATCTCGGTACAATCCATCAACCCTTACTCCAAAGTGCTGAACTGCAGGCGTGCGTCACCACGCAAAGCTGTAAACCTGGACTTCTAAAATGGACCACGCATGACCGATGTTGGACATTGTCACTGCTAAATGTCATCTGATCCCTGGCTCAAGTCCTTCACTTGTAACCAGGCCAGAGCCCATGATGCCATCAACTCATCCGAGATCTTGCTTCACAGTTGTTACAATTGTTGTTTCATCAGTCTACAACAATCGGCTAGTTTCTAGTGGGGCGGTTAAAGTTTTGCGAGGCTCTTATTTTTTTGCTATTGACAAATGCATTAAGCTTTCACTTATAAAAATGTGAATGAGACCCTATTATACCGCCTGTTTAGCAACACACCATATCGCTGGAAGTGATATGAGAATTTGTATTATTTTGAAGGTCAGGTTTAAAAAACACATATATGATTAGCACGCGACTCCAGCTATGGAGCGGTGGGGGGGGGGTATTGTTTGTGGGGCGCGTCAGCTGTGTGCTCGATGCTGCGCCTGTGCCACCATCAGCAACACGGGGGATTAATGTGGGCTGCTGCGCGGTACACAACACGCATTGTGAAACGCCGCGCGCACCGCAGCTAGAAAGTGTATAAACAGGTGTGTGTGTGCTTTACAAAAACACACACACACTCTGCCTGCAGCTGTCGCGAGGAAGCAGGAACGAGGTGGAGGTTGGGGGGGAGGTGTGTAGGCAACGGTGTGTGGATTCTTGGGTCGAGCTGTAAATTGCGTATAAATAATGCAGAGCGCAGTGGCCTCGTCTGGCCTATGGGGCGAGGCGGGCGAGGGTAAAGTCTAATGGCTCGAGGTGCCGCTGCCACCTGGCCTCCCAGGTGCGTCCACACGTGCCTGGCTAATTGGGATGTGGCCGCAGGTAGGGCCCCGCGGCAGGATGGCAACCCATTGGCATCTCCTGGCCACCGCCTAGGCAGTAAGGCTCTGCGTTGGGTTGTTGCGTTGCCCGCTGAATCCATATTTGTCGGAACCAAACGAATGTTTGGGGTGAGGATGGGTGATCTTTCCCTGCCGCTTGCAAGCGAACGTTTTGTATTTGATAACCAGTCCGAAAAGTTCCATGATATCCCGGTGTCGTAGCCGTGTGGCTCAAATTTACAGAGCTTTTAACTTCACGCATCGTCATGTGGGGAGCAGTGGGCACATTGGCCAATGAATGATTTGCAAAGTTGGTGGAGATCCATGGTTAATGACGTGTAAATCCTGTTCTCATGTTACCCCACGGTGATCATCGTCGCGAGTGCTGTTTTTGGCTGCAATGGTTTGATATCTAAAGAGTCCTGCGATGTATCAACTGTAGATATTGCAAATTGAATGTGTGAAGTGTCTAAATGTGACCACATCTCAACACTGCTGTCTCTGCTCGGGCAGATGCAAAACAGTACGGTACATTTTGGCTTTTATAGCGCTGCTGTTCATGTTGGGTATCCCAGAGCACTTCAATACAAACTCAAAGCCTTTCAGTAAAAAATAAACATAAACAAATATGTAGATATAATACGCACTAGTTGAGTGTCTGTGCGAGTTCTTTTTATCGCATTTGTCAATGGGTGCTTAATAAGCTTCATCGATCAAGAGCTCCATCCAGCAGAACACATTTCACTCCATTCGCAAATTTTTATAAATCAGACTCTAGACGGCAAACCCGTTTGTTGCTGGCCGTTTGGCCTTCTAGACGGTTGTGCACGGGTTACAATGAGCGGGTCGGCGCTGCGGCACGAGCGTGGCTGCGTGCGCAGTGTCATCGGCGTGTGTGTGCGCGTGCGGCGCGTGTGGTTTGTGTTGTTGCGTGCGACAGGTAACCATGGCAGACAGGGCGTCGGCAGAGCGGGCGTGTAAAGACCCCAACCCCATCATCGACGGACGCAAAGCCAACGTCAACCTGGCCTACATCGGGGCCAAGCCCAGGGTCATCCAGCCAGGTACTAATAATAAAAATAACAATTTTACTAATTTATCCAGGAAGGCCACGTTGAGTCCTAGTACGCTCTTTCTGCAGTATCTTGCATTGGGTTTTTCGTTTTAAGATGTTTCTCAGCTCATGTAATGAGCGTTTATAAATGTGGGAGGAAACCGGCGCACCCGGACAAAAGCATCCTGCATACGGGGGAGGGGGAAACACTCTATCCCCATACAGATGTGAACGGATGGCGACTAGTCCCATTTACTATACCGCCTTCTGGCGAGCCAGGGTATGTCACCTCCTCGACGCCCACGTAATGGGAGTTTTTGACAACATTCGTGTTTACGGCGACTCGCCAATGCTCGCTGCTGCTGCCTCCACAGCGCTGGACTACGGGCAGCGTAGGCACCACGAGGTGCCACCACGCAACGATCGCGATCGGCATCCCCCGCACGTAAAACAAACGGCACAGACGCGATTGTAGCTGTGGTGATGCTCTGGCTACGGACGTGCAGGACGCTACTCTGTACCGCGGCGGTCCCTCAGAATCAGAATTTGTATTTGGACTGGAGAAATCCGATGAGCTATGAAGCTCTTTACCACAGATGTTCTCGTCTGCAGCGTTGCGGAGGCCCCATGCGGCGACCGCGCCGCTTGTCTGACTGTTGTCGTTTCCCTTACGATTGTCATTAAATGGATTGTGATCAATACATAGCTTGGCATTATATTGCAATGATGGAGCCACGCGTGATGGCATGCTGGAGTGAGCGCCAGCTAGGAGCGGTGACCCAGTGGTTGGTGCACTGCACTGCGACTCCAGCCACCCGAGTTCGCTTCTAGCTCACGGCTAACATCGGTGATGAGTATCCGAACCGGTCCCGGACCTCTGCTCGCTCGACTCGGTCTCAATTTGAGTACCTGGTACGGTGTGTAAAACCTCAACTCTGGGGAAACAAAGGCGGCAGGGCACGTTGCTTTCCATCCATCCCCTCGTGTGCCATGCCGACCTTAACAGGTACTTGCTAACAGCAGGAGGGGGGTGGTCTTTGTCTTTGAGCTGCGTTGTGTTGTTCTGATCCCCACTACATTGAACTGTGAGTATTGGCACTTAGCTCTCGTGTATTAATGCAATCTTGAACCAGTGCCACTACTTCGTTTACATTCATAGGGCCAAGGCTGCTTCATGACACGTGCGTGTGTGTGCCGTGTGTGTGTTGTGTTCCTATTGGGCATGTAATGACTCGACACCCCCTACCCAGATGTTTGATTAATTGTCACATTCTAGAGTTGCAATGTGATTAATGAATTGCGTATTTCTGTCGACATTTTTAACCATGCCGATCATATTGTTTTTCATATTGGTGTCTTGTCCGTACAGGTTATGTTTACTTCATTTTGCTAATCACAACACGAGCAATTGGAATGCTATTTGCGCAAATTAGAAAATAATTGTTTCTCACACGCATTAACATCTATCTATTTTAATAGATGTATGTTAGTAGATGAATTGCTATTTATGCATTTAAAACACTGGAGTTGTAGCTCTTACAAATCTTGGAAGCAGTGAGGGTTTAGTTTGGTTCAGGGATACCTTTGATTTAACATCGGTGAAGCTCACCGATGGTAGGGTAATGCTGCGGCACAAGATAATTTTGGACACCAAAAGGTGTGGTGGTTGTAACCATTGGCTTGGATCCCCCATCATGCCTTGCATGTTACGTGACCTTTTGCGTGTATTCTTCTGTTGTTTCCAGCCTGCATCCACTTTCTTGTCCGAGTTTCTCATAATTCACACAAATTGTTAGTCTCATCAATGTTTATCAAACTTTTTCATAAACAATTTGTGTGTGTGCGACCGACGGTTGAATAGGTGCGACCGACGGTTGAATAGTTACAGCCGTCCATTATTCCTACACCCTATACAACTCCTTCCAAGATGATCGTTTCACAAAACATTTAACTAAATTCCTACCGTCCATTAGCCGCAAAGGGTTACCATGTTGATGGCTTTTTAATTAGTGGGTTGGGTATTGATTATGTACAGTTTTTTGCATGTCTGTGTGTGTGTGTAATATACACATAACATTATCATGTGGGGAGCGATAGTGTAGCGGTTAGCGCGCTGCGCTATGAACCTGGCGACCTGGGTTCGATTCCCACTCACGGCCAACACCAGTGACGATTATCTGAACCGGTCCCGGGCCTCCCCTCGGTCGACTCAGCCTCAAATGAGTACCTGGTGCGGTGTGTAAACATTGCCACTAGGGAGACAAAGGCGGTCGGGCGTGGTGCTGGCCACCCACCCCCTCGTGTACCGTTCCGGCCTTCATAGGTGCTCGCTAACAGCACTTGCCCCTACAGTCTGTTAAGGCTATATGGGGGATCTTTGTCTTTTTGTAATATACATGGTGGGGAGCAGTGGTGAAGCGGGGGGGCACGCTGCACTACGAACCTGGTGACCGAGTTTGATTCCGTTCACGGCCAACACCAGTGACGATTATCTGAACCGGTCATGGGTCTCTCCTAGGTCGACCCCCCCCCCCCCAACTGAATACCTGGTGCGGTGTGTCAACATCGCCAGTGGAAATACAAAGGCAGCCGGGTGTGGTGTTGACCACTCACCCCCTCGTGTGTCGTGCCGGCCTTCATAGGTGCTGCTCGCTAACAGAACTTGCCCCAACATTCTGTTAAGGTTATATGGGGGGGTGGGCGTCTTTGTCTTTTTGTGGGCTCTTGGGTCGATGTGCTTGTGAGTTTTTGTTTCAACAGGGTTTGTCAGCTTGCTTTGTATATGTTGTCGGCACTCAGACGCAGTATTGACGGCCGTCGTGTCGTTGTGCGGAGTCCCCGCTGTATAAAAGGCCGTGTAGGTGAAACAAAACCATCTCACAGGGAGGATGACAGAGGAATAAAGAGGGAGACTGCAAGTGTGAGAGAGAGGGCAGAACGTGAGGACAGGGTGGAGCGTTTTACAAAGTAACCTCATGCTGTACTGCATGATTTGCCTTGCTTACAACAAATTATATTTTAAAACGAGTACCACACGATGAAAGTTTACAATGAGTGTGCTTTGGACAGACTGGTTTCCGTCCTAGAAATGTGGAATTTCCACCACCTGACTTTGGGCCACCCACCAATGGGCACGAGTACAGTTTTGGGTTTCGGAGCAGCATGATATTTCGACTTTAAGCAATTCAGAAGGGAAATAGTGATTGTTGAAAAAATATACAGGATATAGCGTAACTTGTGGCCAAAACGCAATAACAACACATTTATACTTTTTTAAAATAGGGAGTTAACGGCATTGCCTAACTTGCTTTGAAAGGCTGTCTGAAAATGTATATCCGTTCACAATACAACGTGTTTGTTAGAAAATAACAAAAACTAGGACATATATTTTAAAACGGCATCATTATCACAAATCTCCACAGCTGCAATTACAATGTGGGTTTCTAAACGTTATAATGAATACAATTGTGCCGTGAGCTACTGTAGGCTGCATAACATTATCATAAATTTTCTATAACTTTAATGGCTCTACTACAGAGAATGTTAATAAATTATTAACCCCAAGTCTCGTGCAACAGTAACAGCAGCCACACATTTTCGTGGATGAATTTCAGCAAAAGGCAAGTGCAAGAGCATATTAGGAACTTGAGCAACAAATCCCTAGTTTCAAGTTGTACGGTTTAACCAGGCGAGAACTGCGGAGACCAGGATAGTCCTATTTGCAAGGCGGACCTGGTGGCATAAGTCTGCTAGTAGGGGGGCGACGATTGTCGCCTCTAATCCCAATCGAGTCGTCTGCGGTGCAGTTTTCGTATTTGGCAAATGGTGGACACCTGACGGGCACACACACTGTGGCCTATTGTTGCGACTGACGTCACAGGGGGGTGTTTAACGTGCGCTGCAAAGTGGACGGGACCTGCATCGTCGTCACCGTTGTTACTCCCTCGGGCAGCGTCAGGACGGCCACAGTAGCGATCGGCCCTGTTGAGTCTTCTTAGTCCTTACGTGTATTACCACTTTGTGGAGGGGTAGTCAACGGTGGTATTGTCCAATGAACTCGTCCCCACCCGAGAAATGTGGAATTTTCACCACAAGCCATGGACTGAGCACAAGCGTTGACCACTTTGACTTGTCATACAGCAGCTGTTTCAGAATTCCATACGCCTGCTGTTAGCACGCTGTGTTCTAACAAGCCTGCTGTGTGACTGACCAATGGAATGGCTAGCGAGCAGTGCCACGCGCTTAGCATGCAACTGCGCGCTTGTGGGTGGCGTAGTAATCTTTGCTCACTCCTTCTTCTCGGAGACTATTTGTCTTCAGAGGTGACCCCTGGTGTTGAATGGTTTCGTCTCCAAGTGCGTGTAGCTCCTCGCCGGCCGTTGCGGTGTAGCACTTATTATCCACGTGCGCGGTAAATTGTAGCCGCGTAATTATTATTTTAAGACTACATTTGCTTACTCGGGAAAGCCTCCGGACGTGTCTCAAGACTCCAAGAGGGTGCTGCAGTCGGGGGTGAAGATTGCAGCGTGTAGTGTTTTCTTTTTTCAAACGTAGCAAATTTGAATAGCGTCACGGGGATCTTTCACACTCACTGTGACGCATTCAGGGCGTGGTATTTGCGGTTCGTACTCTCGCAGTATTAACCGGGGAGGTTGTGGGTCCGAACCGCGAACTTCTGCAATGACGGCCACAAATACCCACCGCTAATTAATCTGCTCCCCTTCCTCTGGTTATTCCATAACCTGTCACGCACCGTTCAGGATCCCACCGTTTGATTCAGGAATTGATACGATTTATTTTTATTTTTTTGCTCTCTCGCTTGCATTTTCTCCCATTTTCAGTTCTTTATTTTGATCCCATTTAACCAAAATGTAAAACCATTGCATCCTCTTTTACTTATTGTTCCCGTCATTCGCAAATGACTCGATTCTCGCACACGCGCAGTTCGAAGCGTCTGTTGTGGATGGGAGAAATGATTTCTGATAGCTGAACCCGGTGCGTCGTGAGCGGCGCGAGGATAGTTTGCGAACCGCTGGTTACAGTGTGGCGACGGTGCTGTGCCCACCAGAACGCATCCACTGTACGCCCCCATTGTGCAACGGCTGTTGACACGACGGTGGTGCCGCACGGTCTGATCCATCGTTGATATTCTGCTGCGTCTCCACGAGGTCGGTAATATCGGCATTATTCAATGTATTCGTGTCCTTTTATCCAGAGTATCGAGCATCTTCCTTAGAATGTTCCTGTATTCGGGTGTTTGCCAATTCCATTAATATGCATTTGGCATGTGGGAGGAGTCCAGAGTACTTTGAAAAAACCCAAGCTTGAGGGTGAAATGGTGAAAACGCTGCAAAGATAGATTCATGAATCCGTTATTGTACTGCCATCTGTAGCCACTTAACAGTATTCCCCTGCTGAAACAAACATGCGCATGTTCAATCTACTGTTGGATGCGGGGGGCTTTCGCACGCCGTGCGGGTTGTGGGGGTTGTTTGACCGTACTTCACCCTTCTGGTCAATGCGGGCTTGCGAAGGTCGCACGTGTTGTAGACGTGTGAACAAAGTCATGCAGTACAACAATCTGAAAATGAGCAATGTCCCACTTTCCTAATACCGTGGAGCCAGTATCGCTCCGGGGACAAATTCTGCCGATGTCTACATTGCCTCCGATGGATTTAGAACGCCGAGTTTGACACCGCTTTGGGGTTTCAGCTCGAAAGCTTTTCACTTGTGAGTTGAGGGCTACAACCGCAGATGTTTTCCAGCCACGTCATCCGTGTGCGTCCACTTTTATAGCGTGCGGTGCCTGAACCGTCGAGTGCCTCGCAGGCAACAGCTGGCAGCCCGCCCGTCCCAGCCCAATTTGCTTTTGTTTGGCTTACGCCGCCGCTCTGAATTGGAAGGCTCAACTCTTGTGATCCCCGAGTGAGCGCTCGCGCACCCACGCCACCACCACCACACAGGCAGTCTTTGTGGGAGAGGTCCTGGCCTCGTTATTACACTTGGGAGTGTTTATTATTAATGATGGTGGTGGTGGCAGTACTGGAAACCTGTAATTGGAGTGGTCTGTGGATTTTGTGGAGGAGAATTTACTAGAGATGGGCAACAATTATGTATGCGTGTGTGTTTTTGGGGCTCGCGAGCTGTACTTTTCCCAACAGTCTGAATCTATAATGTACGCGTATGCACATATGTGTGCATCCGTGTACGCGTGCATGGTGCTGTGGTGGATTGGTTAGCAAAGTGGGCTTGAAATCCAGAGGTGGCTGGCTTCATCTCCTGGCAGATGCAGAAGTTGAGATAATGGGGCAGGTTTCTTCAATAGCCCCCACTCTCCTTGTCCACCTAGAAACATCGCTGGGTTCACCACAGTCTATCGGAAGGGTTGTGTTTGGTGGGGGTAAAATGTGGGCACTCCCGCAGACCCTTGGTCTACAAGGGGAGGCGCTTTTGCCAGCAGTGGGGTGATCAGGCACTTCCAGGGCTGCACCTTTGCCATCACCTGCACGCTGTAGTGCTGTAGAATGTTAAGGTGAGAGGTTGAATTAATATCGATGTGGAGAAAATGAGTGGCAGGATACCGTGCGTGTTTTGTGTTGTGCGACAGCCGTGCTTCATGCGTTTTTGTGTCATATTTGTCATTGCAGGCTTTGCGTTTGGTGTTCAGCAAATTCAGCCGACGTTTATTCAAAGACCGTACGGGTAAGCGCGCACATGTACTACGCCCGACGCCGGCTTCGTTGTACAGCTGTAAAGAGAATGCAGAGTGCGGCCCAGCTGTCTGTGAACCCTGTGCTTTCCTCATTAATTTTGTAGCCCCCACCGGATGTTAAATGTCCCTTCGCGAATGAGCCCGTGTTCTCCCAACAGCTTGCGTACACACGGAGTTGTTTAACGTTTGTGTAAGATCAAATTTCTACCGGTGCTGTCGGCCCTCCGCAGCATTTCCTTACATTGTTGCCAATAAATATATTTGCACGCCGAGTGTCATTACAATTGTCTGCAGGTGCAACATTTAGTTTTGTGTTTTTAGAATTGCCTAAAATATGTGTATTTTATGTATGTATAAAACGATGAGTTTTATTTTATGTTAATTTCCACGGCCTACGATTTTTATATTTTTTTGTAAGGAGGTTTCGGATGCTAAACGTCACGACATGATTTGACATACTGGCCCTCAAGGCCCGAGTGCACGCCTCATAGGCCCCGTGCTGATTGTTTACGTCAGGTTTTGCTGAGTACAAGCACAGGCCCAAAAACGGCAAGTGTGGCCAGCAGCAAACGGCACAAGTTGACGTGTCTACAAAAAAAAATTGCCGAGGGTTATAAAACTTTGGAGAAGAGACGATGGGAGGCAATCCCGAAGTCGAGCACTTGGAGGGAATCCGCAGAGAGAGGAGTGAAGATGGCGAAATTGGAGTGGCCGGAATGGCGTGCCACCATCATCACGATGACGATTGTTGCCCCGGGGGGCTCGAACCCCCCGGGGCCTGAGGCGTTCCCTCGCCAGCGAGACATCCACGGCAAGTTGCGGCCTCTCCCAGCCGCATGGCCCTCGTCAAGTGCTCCTCGCTTGTCGCGTTGGTTCTATTTTTGGCAAAAACGTCTCCAACAATGGGGAAAATCGCCGAGTGAATAGGTTTTTGAAATTGCTCCTGAACCCGTCAAGTTGAAAGAAAATTGACGTCCACGCCCCACCACGTTGTTGACGAGTGGACACAAGTGTATTTATTTTTGTCTCTCGTGCCATGCACGCTGCAAGAATCAAAAGTGGACCTCCTGGCTGCACGCTCAATTTGTGGTCGCTAGGCAGCGGTGGAAATTCCACATTTCCATGGCAAGAAGCCAGTCTCTTTGTAAGACAACAATCAACTTTCCACGCCCCGGTACCCGATTTTGTCCCCCCCGCCTCCGGAAGGATGATGGGGCTCTCGACTGCCGATCCTGGATTTAATTTAAACTCGTGACCTACTTGCGGCTCGAGCGCTCTTCTACGCCGCCACTGCCGCCCTGTTGCACGCGCATCGTACAGTACCCTCGCTAAGCCAGATTACAGACTCGTGTAAAGACCGGCTTCTGAAAGGGGGGTGCGGGTGGGGGGGCAAATGCCCGCATGCCTCGGTGCTTGGAGCCGTAATTGGTAAACGTGACGTGCATTCTCTGTGGTGGACGTTTAGCATCCTGAGCTTCTTTCCCACACGTGCTGCTGCTCAACAAAGCGTTTTGACCACTTTGGGTCACGTCTCCAAAGTGACGCAATGTTCTGTGGTCTGGCGCACGCGTGTGTCCTGTGCGTGTCTGTGTGCGTGTGTCCGTGTCTCTGTGTGCATCTATCCGACCTAACAGGCAGCACTTAGAGATAAGATAAGAGCCTCTGCATTGAGATGCGCTACAGTCAGCTGCACAGTAGGGCGCCTAGACAGAGGTCCTCAGGCAATGCCAAAAGTATGTTGCATGTTGGTCTGTATTTTTTGCTGTGCTGTACAAATAGCTTGAAGTGGTGTTTTTTTTTTAAATTACATAGCTTCTTATATCTATCTTTTAATATTTGTGTTTTGTTTTCGTTTTGTGTGCACTAACTGAAAAAAAGCCTTTCATAGCAGTGTGGTAGCTTTTGGTGAGTTGGGTGTCTCATTCTCTCCGCCAATTTGTTTTGCCTCTCTTAGTTATTTACTGCCACTGTGCGTGTGTGCGCGCGCGTGCACTCTGCCACTGCTGTGTGTGCGCGGTGGTTACGTCTGTACTGCATGTGACATGGTGTTTTAAAATCAATAACTTTTGTCTTTTTATTATCCATCCCTCTTCTCCCACAATCCTCTCTGACCGGTCAAGGTTTTTTTTTTGTCCTTTTGCCGGACGGAGCGGGCGTTAGCGACGTGCGGCATAACGTAGACATTTTTTGAGCGTAGCAATCGGTTTGGCGATTTTTTTTTTTATTAGCCTCCCCCAGGTGTTCGATTCAAATCCCCCCCCCGCTCCAGCAAATTGCCGATCGTCGCTCGCCCATTGTGCAGGCTGGTTGTCCCCCGTAAGAAGAAAAACCTAGTGGTGATCCTAGCGACACAAGACGCTCGCCATCGTGGAGCCATTGCTCGTGGTCTCTGTGAATGTTCGCTTGGTGTTTTTCAGAGTGGTATCGTTTGCACGTGTAACAAGCCTGTATTATGGGGGTGGTGCCACGATGTTAACTACTTCGCCTGGTGTACAGGGGGTCGTGGGTTCGATCCCAACCCTGACACCTGTGTTTTTGGAGTTTGCGTGTCTATCCCCGTGGTCACGTGGATATTTCTCTGGGTTCCTCCGGTGTTTTCCCTCCCTTTTAGAATCGGCGTGCATTTTGAGTATTTGGCTGCTATACATTTCCACGTGCTAAGCCTCTGCGTTGAGCTATCATTTGTGGCCAGGTCCCTTCTAAAAAAGAGCTCTATAGCTCGATGGGCCTTATTTGGTCAAATAAAAAGTTGAATAGTCTAGTTTCAGGGAATTGCTGAAAAACCACTGACGATTGTTAGTATTTTGTGCAAAGCCAGGTTGAGCATTAGTACAGGGCTCCATTATGGTTACGAGTCTTCCTCTCGCTGCATAAGAGACTCGAGCTGAAACGACACTTACGTTCACATCACAACCAGGCTCAACGAAGCGTAATTTTGCTTCAACAATAACCCAGTAAATTAGAAAGTTTTAGTTAATCGTGAACTAACTAGTAGACTTACACTATTAGAGTACTTTTATTGAAGGTAGTTGCCTGATGGGCCACTTGTCATATTAATTGTGCCTCATGTAGTTATCAAATTAAGTTGCCTTCAACTCTAAATTATTAACATCTCGTCATGAAATAAACACCAGAATGACTTGGAGGATGATTGCTGCTATTATGCAACAATATAAAAACGCGAGTGTGCAGTGTCATATTGGCAGGAAATGAAAGTATTTCGGCCCACTGGTCATCCTCAGAAGATGTAGAGTGTTAGTCTCCATCAATTAAGACTCTAAACCATCTCCTTCCTGAAGAATGTCATCCTGCACACACTGAGGTCTGCCTTTCCTCTCGATGACTGACAGATCCGACCCTGTTTACATTTCTTGTCGAACCAAATTATTTATCTTCTAAAGCTCCCCGGTGTGTGTTTCTGGTCATACCACGTGTGTTCTGCACGGTGTGAGGTTTTTTGGGAGCTTCTTAAAAAGCTCCCGGCGCTTGGAGCAAAACGTCGGACATCGTACCGAACACCAACCCGGCAGCACGACCAGAGGCACCGGGGGAGCTTTACAGCGCAACCGCAGAAACTAATGCGGTCGTATTCATTTTGTAAGCTCACCAAAGTGTAAACCTCGCATCGTTTTCTAGACCTGGCAAATTGCGTTTGTAGCGTATAGCGGCGGTGCACGCACTCGCGAGAGGACACTTGTCATCCAGTGCGACTTTATAAATACTGTCCTGCATAATGCCAAAGGCAGCTGCTGATTTCCCAGCAGGGCTGGAGACGTAGGGACCCAGAGTGAATTATTTATACCATGGGCCGCCACCGCGTCGGTGCGTGACCGCGTGCGCCGAGGTTG